GGGATAGATAGACGCTGCATGCCAAGATGTCAATGATTGCCCCTAAATGGAGCAGGGATCGAAGTGACTCTTTTCTATGTTGATAAAAAACCTGTGGTGTTTTCGTGTTTGGATGGTAACCCGCAGGTCCTCCCTAGCCTGGGATATATATCCTGAGGATATAATCCAGATAACACTGGACATGCATGGGTAGGTACCAGAGATGAGCCGCCAAGGTAGCCAGGACCTTCGTAAACACCCTCGGTGCAGATGACAGTCCGAAGAGTAGGGCCCTATATTGATAGTGCTGGCCAGCATAATGGAACCATAGGTATTGCCGGTGGCAATGTCGAATGGGAATATGGAGATTAGCCTCCATCAGATCAATGTACTGTCATCTCAGGCACAACCTTTGGAACTGTTAACTCCTCTGGCTCCCCTTCCTCAGGACTAGTTTTCCTGTCAGTCCTCTGCCATATCAGCCATGTAGCAAAATTAAATTGGCTCTGATGCTGGAGCACAAACACTCCTGAGACTGCTGCCTGCTGCTCTGGATCAAAGGCCTCCTGTGAGGTCTGGTTTGACAATAGTTAATTGATCGTTGGTGCCAATAGATAATTGCCTCAGGTGTTAGTGGAGCGCAAAAGCTCCTGTAAAAATGCAGGCTCGGGCGGCAAAGGCAAAAGCTAGTTAAGTGTGGTATTACTAAGCGGGGCGCTGATCTGCAGCTGTGACTAGATTTAGCTGTTAAGCGTGAATGGAGAATGAGATTTCTGTGGCCACGCTGCCTGCCAAACCAATCTACAAGTGAAGCGCGAAGCTTCTGAAGCCTGCAAGACGCTCTTTTTAAACAACGGGTGAAGCGTGAGTCTTCTGGCTGAGGCACTAAGCTTCGCTGAGCTCCATCTATCTCGAGGCTTCTGAAGCCTGCTCAGCCTTTTGCTATCGGATTGGCTCCTTACAGCCCTGCCCTGGCTGTTTCAGCTATGGCGTGGCACCCTGTCAGAAGTGACAGTTGGAAAATGGCATGAGTCTCTGAAGCTTATAGAAACCAACGTAACAGAGCCGTGGCTCTGTCTCCAAAGGAGGCAACTCTACCACGCTGCTGGGAGTTTCTGGTGCTTACTCACATTTTTAAAAGTCCATTGGTAGAATTAACGATAGTCAATCCAGGAATTCCAAGAAGGGGGGAATTTTGACCCATCTGTCCAAGCTGACTACCGAGTCAAAAAGCTGGGAAGCTGACAGAGGAGTGACTTAACAGCTTTGGCAGACTCAATCCAATCAGCTTGCAGAGAGGTCAACCCATTCCTGGATGCTATCTCCACCCAGATGGGGAATATTATAATTTTCTATTGGACATTTCATATTTCATATCCAAAGCCCCAATATTTGGGTCCCTGTCAGAGAAAGCAGCTCTTTTAGACAAGGTAAACTACGTTGTGGAGATGCACTATTAATATTTTCTCCTGCACTTCCAAGAGAAGAACATGCTCTGGTTTAGTCTGAAGGGAGAGCTTTTGTTAATGCAGCAAATATTATAATACCAAGAACATAAAACATAACAGTAGTGTCCTATGTTATGTTCTGCAATATGCAGTTGGCCAGGAACTTATATTTTGTACTTCATTCCAAATATGTGATCTACAAATACTTGAATTATGGCCATGTATTTCATCAGCTTGAGCAATAAGTACTTATTTGGAGAACAATTAGGACAAAATCTCATTCAGACTCTTAACTGATAAAGAATTACTACCTTAAGTAAACATTTGCCTTACACTTCAATAAAGTTCAAAAAGTTATTTGTTAGCTTTGCATATGGATAAATAAATATTTATGTATGTACAGAAGAGTAAGTGACAGTAACTATGCCTGTCTCTCTTATGGACTGGCATGCTATTTGAAAATATGAAAACAAGACAAAAATAGTCAAATATAACCCAATCTTTATTATGATTATAATCAGCAAAAGAAGAGTGGGATATAAACAATTAGTAATTTAAAACACTATAAAATACACATGGTTAAAAAAAACATTGTAAAAAGCTTATACACACACATACAAACTCCACACCAGTCTTTTAAAAAAATCTGTAAAAAAAGGGGCAAAGACATTAATTTAAAATGTGGAAACATAAAAGATAATATAGTAGATTCTCAGAAATCTACTAAATACTCTGAACTAAGAAGTTAAATATTAAGGTTGGTCTGAGACACAGGTCATCATCTGACACATTTTAATTGCTGCTGCACAGAATCTGCAAAATTTACGTTGTAACAGAATTACTGTCTGCAACAGAGGTGGTATTCAGCAGGATCTGACCAGTTCTGGAGAACTGGTAGTGGAAATTTTGAGTAGTTCGGAGAACTGCTAAATACTACCTCTGACTGGTCCGTCCCCATCTATTCTCTGCCTCCCGAGTCCCAGCTGATCGGGAGGGAATGGGGATTTTTGTAGTAACCTTCCCCCTGGAGTAGGGAGGGTCTGGAGATTTTACAGTATCCTTCCCCTACCATGCCCACCAAGCCATGCCATGCCCACAGGACCGATAGTAAAAATTTTGAATCCCTCCACTGGTCTGCAAGCAGTAGAGAGGTATAAAATTGTACTATGTACCCTATTTGTGCTATGTGTGTTTATACAGTATTAGTGACATGAGGGCAGTGGCGGATTAAGGCTCACTGGTGCCCTAAGCACTGACAAATCTTGGTGCCCCCCCTTTTGTACATGCTGTACAAATCTTCATTGGGTTTTTTCTTTCTTTCTCAACTTTGTGGTGCCCCCCTGGTCCTGGTGCCCTAAGCACATGCTTAGTCTGCTTAATAGTTAATACATCACTGAGCACAGGCCTTGTAGGAGCACATTCTCCGTTGATTCTCTATGTCCAGAGTCACAGGGCATTGCCTTTCCTGGAAGAGAATGTCAGTTGGTCTTACCTGAACTGCATGTCTCGAAGGATGGCGTGGGAGCAGTCACAGCTGGGTATTGTCACAGCCCATCTGCCCGGAGACTGAGGTAAATCTTGAAGCCTCTGACTCTCCAGATTAACCGATGATCCAGTCAAGGTGACTCTAGAAGGAAGGGAACAGGGTAACCCCCTCCCCTTTTGGTCCCTACTGACCAGTAACACTCTACTTAGGCCCACACTGCGCGGGGTGCACTACGGATGGGAAGTGACTGCTCCCACGCCATCCTTCGAGACATGCAGTTCAGGTAAGACCAACTGACAGTCTCTGAAGTGGGGCGTGGGAGGAGTCACAGCTGGGAGATACCAAAGCTGGGAGGGTTCATAGGCCCTGAGTCCCCCCCCCCCTGAGTATCCAGCACTCTCTGGAGGACTCTCCTCCCAAAATACGCCTCTGCGGAGGC